TGATTGTTAATTACAGTGAATAAGATAATATTATATTATCCAGGTAGCAGAAATGGTAACTTGGATATGAATTGATTAAGTAACTTTTTTTTTGCCTAACTTATAGTTTAGTTTGACAAGGCTACAAAGAAAAATAAGTTGCTAAAAAATTGTTTATCGATAGTCATCATTTATTTTCCAAAATATTTTGTCAACCCTCCATTAACTTTGGAATCTTAGCCCTAATTCATAAAATAGTTTCAACTTTTTTTTGCATCAATTTTATCAGAAATTACACTGTCGCACAACTGAAATGTGCATATCTGAACAGGAAGTGAATTTCCGTACGTTTTGTTATCTGTTACTATTTGCTGCAAAATAATTTTCCTTATTTATCCCAGCGATGGTATAAAATTACATTCACAGTACAACTTTTATACCACATTTGATATTGCTGTATAGAACAGATAATTTTTCTTCTTCTTTACTGTCGTAATCGGTAATTTAGTGACAAAAGTTCTGGTAAGAATCTTACAGCAAATTACAAGATCGTTTAAATATTTACACTATAACGATACAGTTATAGTTGAGATATTCGTTTACTTAGCCATATACCTCTACTCAAGTGTACGCTGAACGGCGATAGCCGATTGACAGCACACATCACACAAATATATAGCGCAACATAAATTTGCTCAGTTCTCATTCTTTTTTTTTTTTTTTTCAATCTTAAACACCAAAAATAATTAACCAAATGATTGAAGACAATCCTTCCAACCATTGCAATTTTTTTTCAAAATCAATAGTAACAGCATGAGTAAAAAAAATCTTTTTTTCGGTGTTATGATATTTGGCTTCGAGGTCAAAAGAAAACAAAGTGAAGTAAAATTAAAAAAGAGTAAATTTCTTTACACAGTGGTCGGCGATCGGGTGAATTAGGGAGAGGGGGGATTGGAAGTCAACAGACTGCAGAACTGAATGCCAAATGCCTGCGTTACGGTTGTTTGTATTTTGCTCCATCTTCATGTTTCTTCATGACGATGACAAAATTATAAATCGTGTGTAATAAAACTGTATCTAAGTCTTTTTATTTAGCATATTTTTTTTCCTTATAAATAGCTGACTTTTATCCTGTTTTGTTTATTTAAATGTAATTCTTCAGCTGTATAGACACATTTGGTCTAAGAGCACCGCTAGTTCATCAGTGCAGTTGCGACGTGGTAAAGATAATTAATTGTGTTTCCAAGTAAATAATTCTGTA